TAATAAGTTCCTTCCCAACTACTTAAATCTGAGAAATTAGTGTTACTGACATGAAGAAACCAGAGGAGTCTGCCAAATGCTATATTTTTGTATTTGGATCTTTTTCAGGTTTGTGTTTATAAAAAAGAATATTTTGTATCTTTGAGGAAAATATTTCAGTTTGGGGAAATAAGCCACTTAGTAAGCTTTTCCTTGACCAGCGTGTGTAATACCATGTTGCTGGCTGAATGAGCACATCAGTTGAAGGAAAGTGAGGAACTGAGAAATAGTGATCTGTTGTATTTCAGGTTTATCCATTATTGGAGCTGTTCAATCATAAATACAGCATATTTCTTATTTTTTTAATTCCTGAAGTCTGACTCTTCTGTCTCCCTTTTATTTTCTTAGGTTAAATTCTTTTGTAAACTTGTGCTCTTTTTTTCCTCATCCCATTTTTCTTTTATCTTTTTTAGTTAACATTTTGCTTTGAGGGAAGTGATACTGACCTATAAAGTAGGAAAAGGTGAGCTAGCTTACTCCCCTAGGGAGATCAGGCATAAAATAGTAAACCTGTTGTTTACTGAAGTGTCATTCCTTTATATTTTCATCTTCTACTTTTGCAGTATTATATTATAAAGTTGACCCAGTAGATCCTATACTTGGTGCCCTTTTGCTACCCCACTTCATATGGTGTAGGGGATTTTTTAATTTACTTAATCATTCATTTATTATTTACTGAGCTGAGTTCACATTAATTTTGTGTAGTTTTTCTTTAGGTAATATTTTCTTTCTTGTGAGTATCAAATGGAGTTTTGTTCTTTAAATCCAAGGTGTACATCGTGTACATCATGTACTTTTGTTAGTTTGCTTGGAGGCATTGCATCTCCCTTAGAGAGTTGTAACGTCATCACATAGAAGGCAAAAAAGTGATGGAGTTGGTTCATGGCCAAACCATAGAAGTGAGTTGAGTGGAAAGCTTTTTTTTTTAGTATAAATATCATGAGACCTAAACTTGAGTTCTGCAGTTCTGCATCTAGTAATTCATTTGTTATTTTTTGCTTTTTTTCATCTGAAAATGGGATGGATGATATGCTGACTCTGATTTTATTCCAATTCATAGATAAAAGGTGCACTGGTTTCAACTAATACTTATTCTTTTGTGTGAGATTTTGGTGGCTTGGGGAATTAAAATGAAATCAACAAACTGACTGAGTCCTGTTCTCAAGAGGCATCTGGGCCTATAGAAATAGGACCAGTATACAGATAACCATAACTTTTCCTAAGTGGCATAATTAAATTACTTCTCTAGGAAAAAGTTCAGTGGGAAGTGGAAGACCAGTTCAGCAGACATTTATTGACCTCCACCATGTGCTAAACCTTTCTCGTCAGTTGAGATAACAGACATAAAAACAGTAGTCCCTGTTTTGGAGAGCTGGGAATAGAAATTATATATGGATTGAAGTGATACTTTAAAAGTACTTAGGTTTATTCTTAAGCTGTGTATTATACTATTATGATGCTTAGGTTTCAGGTGGGAAATTGTAGTTGCTTGTTTAGTTGTTTATCTTGGTAATGAGTTATCTTGGTTTGGCAGTTTGTCTAACCAAGCTAGACAGTTGTGTCAGGAGCATTCACATATAGGAGCTATTTTTTTGCAGTGTTTTCAGAATTGTGCAACTTAGATTCTTCCTAGATACTTAAAATTTGGTTATTAACCGGGTGATCATATATTAATATGAAGAGAAATGATTTAAAAGAGAAAAGGGTTAGCAATTGCATCTTAAATAAATGTAGTTAAGGTTCAGTATAGTACTTTCAAGTTTATTCATCCCTGGTGAGTAATAGCCTCCACATTAAACATGAAGAGTTCTTTAAAACTCAATCATTATTTTAATTGGTATGAAGCATGCAGGAGGTAATTAGCTTAAGACGAGTGGTAAAAAAACCCACCCATGCATAATTTATATGCAAACCTTTTATATGAAGAAGTGACTGTGAAAGATTTTTTTTTAACATGCTTAATTATGTTATGTGTTGACAGGATAATTAAAAGTTATGTGTTAGTAGATTGATGAGCAAAATTTAATTATGGTGAAATCTTAAGTTACTGGAGACTTTGCCTCAATTTTTTAAACTCACACTAATTTAATATCACTCATCTATATGAAGTAAGAGATTTCTTTTAGTTTTAATTAAAATTAAAGAATTTTTGGTTTTCTGAACCATTTGGAAATATGTTGCTGATGATCTGATGTGCTATCACTGCTAAATACTTCAGGGTGTTTTCCCTATAAACAAGGATATTTTCCTAGTTATTCACAAAACAGCCAACAAACTCAGGAAGTAATATTGATATATTTTTACTATTAAATCCTCAGATGCCCATTCAAGTTTACTAACTGTCTTAATAATGTACTTTATTAAAAAATAATCCAGTTCAGAAATATGTTGTGTTTAGTTGTCATCACTCTTGGTCTCCTCCAGTCTGGAATAGTTCCTTATTTCCTCATCTTTCTTTGTTTTTCATGATCATAACACTTTTAAGGATTATAGGCAGTATTTTTTTTTTTTTTTTTTAAAGATAGTATCCCTAAATGTTTGATGTTTCCTTGTGACTAGATTCAAGTTAATGTATTTTTGGTAGGAATATCAGAAATGATGCTGTATTATTTTCCTCCTTCCCTATCAAGTTGGTCCTGATTGCAATTTGTACCATTACTGATGATTCAGTTTGTCCTGTTACTGATGATACTCATTTTAATAATTTGATTACAGTTGTGTCTGACAGGTTTTTCTACTGGTGAAATTATTCTTGAAATATTTCTTTTTGTAATTCATAAGTACCTCTTGGGAAAATACTGATACTACACATATATCCCATTCTTTAGTAAACTTGCAGCCCATTTTATTCATTGGGTTATAATCCATTTTTATCATTACTTATTTTGATGCTAAAATTGTCCTAGATATGGCCCCTTTGTATTGTCTTTTATTTGGGATGAAACATTGTTCTTTGATATCCTATCTCTCGTATGAAGTCTTTGTTTAAAGTATATATATGAATATTGACAACCAGGGAAGCTTACCCAAGTCCTGGCTTGTGCAGTTTTTATTGGGGCTCAGTCATGTAGGCATGGAGCTTCCTTGTGACTAACCTTAGCTCTAGGCTTCCTGGCCCCCACCCTGAGAGACCAAACTGATACCTTATGTCCCAGAGGCTCTGGTGAACACAATAAGTGTTTACCATAATCACATTGTTTAGCATCATAAGTCACATTGTTTAGTATTTCTATATGATGTGGCCCTAGACACTAGGCGTACTTTCTTTTACCAGGAAGATATTTCAAGGACTTACAGCTTTTTCCCCCGGGATCTGACCAAAGGCTAGTCCTTTTTTTGAATGTGCAGGATTTGAACACCCTAAGCCTGCTGCACAGTTCGTCACCTCCAAAAAACATGAAGTAAATGTGTTTAAGGGAGGAAAGAATCTCACTATTGAATTCTTTGCAGTGCTAATATGCTTCACAGAGAACTGACCGGTTTTAGATACTGAAAAGATACCAAAATGGGCTATAATTTAGGGAAAATTTTGGAATCAGTGCAATAAAATAGAGGAAACTCTTAGAGCAGACAATATTCCAGCTGCTTTGATATCCTAAGTAAAAGGGATCAGTAGTTAACATCACAGAGTCACAGTAGTTATGCCTATATAATATTTGTATGTACCTAGGCTTTAGTTAACTCATATGTAGTTGTAGTCTATAACGTGGCTTACTTCCTGATCTTTTTTTAATATTATAGAGGTTTATATCTTAATGACTTCAGGACTAGACTATTAACCTAGAGGAATATATCAATATTTATATAAAGGTAACTGATTATTTTTTCTCATCTACTAATTTACCTTTATGCTAAATCAAATTAAAGAACAAGACATGGAGCAAAATAGTTTCTAAGAATCATACAACTTTGAAGCTGACAGAGCCATTGTAATCGTATAGTCCAGTATTTCCCAAACTAGCTTGCATAATGTGTGAAAATATTTCTGTTGTAAAGTGGATACTGCATAGTGTGCCCCTTTTTGAACCTATTAAGCACAGTATTATTTTAAATGTTCAGGGAAGTCTTGAAGTAAAGAAACCTGTTTAGCTTACCTATATGTAGTATTTCACAAAATATAGTAGTCCCCAAAACTGATTTTGGATGCCCAGCAGCTATTAATAAATACTCCAGCACAGCATAGTCTAGGAACTGCTGTTGTAGTGATCTTTTATAAAGCTTGAAGCTCATGCTCATAGAGTTGAAACATTCTTTTGAAGTCATCTGTCCCTGGGCCACAGCTTTTGGGTTTCTGAATTTATATTCAAAAGTTTTGAGCAATTACAGTCCAAATGTTTAGCACTTCTTTACTATTTTTATTTTATTTTTTATTTAAAAATGTTGTTGATTTCAGAGAGAGAAAGGAAGAGGGAGAGAGAGAAAGAGAAGAAACATTAATGATGAGAGAGAGTCATTGATTGGCTGCCTCCTGCAAGCTCCCTGCTGGGGATCGAGCCTGAAACCGGGTATGTGCTGTGAACCTCGATCTCCCCGATCATAGGTCAGCGCTCAACTGCTCAACCGCTGAGCCACACTGGCCGGGCTTCTTTGCTATTTTAAAATTTGATTTGTCAGCTTTCCCTTTCTTCTCAATCCCTACCTCCCAAATGACTTAAACAAAAATCTTTCTTGCTCACAGAAGGTGGCCTCTGAATTTAGGCACTTTCTGTGTCTGTGCTGTTCAATATAGTAGTTACTGGCCATTTAAATTTTTGGAATTGAGATCTGTTTCACATACCCTAAAACTCACCCATTTAAAGTGTACAGTAAGGTGATGTTCGGTATATTCACAGAATGGTCGGGGCTCAGGCAGGAGGCAGCTAATGGATGTGTGTCTCTCACGTTGATGTTCCCCCTCCCTCTCCTCCTTTCCCTCTCATCTACCTCTCCCTTTCCCTCTCCCCCTTCCTCTCTCTCAAATCAATAAATTTTAAAAAAGGAAAGAATTATATCTGTACAGATATCTATCCCCAGGTATCTTTGAAGCATACTAATAAATGACGTGTTTTAATTTTGGATTATTCTCTATAATAAATACTCTGCTTTAGAGTAATTTCTACAAAATGTTAACGACTTACCGTTTTTTACTATGAATTCAAGAAAAGTTGATTTTTTTCCAGTGTGTTCAGCTTTTTACTTGTTATGATGGAGTGTCAACTTCCAAGCTCTCTACATGCACAACCAGAATCTGGAAGTCTGTATGGTGTTTTTTAAAAGTATTTATTCTCAACCAAATTTGGTTTCAACTCTGTTGTTAATTTAAACATTGATAAGACTGGGATTACTGATTAGAATAGAAAATAAAAAATAAAAAGTTAATACAGTAATTTTTAACTCTTTTCAAGTTAAAATGGTATCATTTGATTATTTTGTTAACTGCTTCTTCAAAAGAATATTCCCCCCCCCCGGAAAAACTTATATCTAGGGTTGTTGGTTCTGATTCCTGTAGTGTGTGGGCAAGAGGAGACTGGGACATAGTGGGCTTTGAATAGTTGACCATTCAAAGAGCTAATGACAGTTGTATATAATGATTTGTAGTTTTAGAAAGTGGTTTTACATTCATTATCATATTTGAGTTTCACAGCTACTTAGAATGATACAGAAGTTTGTTTCCTCTGCTTTGTAATTGAGAAAATGGAGAAACTCTCTTGTCCAAGTTTACATGTTTTAGTAAGTAGTAGAACTGACATTAAGAAAAAAGGTTTCTGGTTCAGAGGCTTGTGTACTTCCTGCTGAACCATAGATTTCTACAGAACTAGGGCAAGAAGATGGTGTTTGGCAGTTAGCAGCATAGCATATGTATCTTTATTGTTGCTTTGCATTGTGACTTTGGAAATAATTATTTTTTACTGTATACTCTGGCTTTCAAGTAGATTTTGAGGACTTGGCAATTTGTGTCCCATAGAGTTATAACACTTAAAATGCTTGGGAAGAAAGGGATGTTTTCATTATTTGAATTTTAATTTATTATGATTATATCATTTTTATTTACTTTATCATTTTTATTTATCATTATTGTATCTTCATCAATTTAATCAGACATTACATTGTAGACACATCTCACATGTTGGAATAGAAGGAAAGAAGGAATTCAGGAAAACAGAAAAAGTAGGCCAAAATTTTTACATTCAGATCTGCTGTGGTTCTAAACAGTGACCTTGGGAAGCTGTACACTTGCTGCCAATGTTCAAAATATCCATTGGATCTCATATTTTAAATAATGGCTTCAGGATTTTATTTCCATGTGTATAAAGATGTATATATTCACCATGAAAATATTTGTGAACTTTGTCAATAGTTTAGTTGTTGGGTTTACATCATGCTGAGAATTACTTTTCAGAACATTTTTAGCTAGTGTGTGTAGGTTCAGCAACAGAATTGTTTTGATGAGTGTTATTATTGATTAGATTGATTGAATGGGTTATCTTTGAATTAATGATTTTTTTTTCCCCCTAGTCAGCGGATAAGCAGCGAGCCCTAGAAGAAACCAAAGCCTACACCACCCAGTCCTTAGCAAGTGTTGCCTATCTGATAAATACTTTGGCCAACAATGTACTGCAGATGCTGGATATCCAGGCATCCCAACTACGAAGGATGGAATCATCAATTAATCATATTTCACAAGTGAGACCATACTGTTTTTCTATTTTGTTATGAGGAACACTTAATAAACACAGGCAATCTGTGATGCTGGCAGTCTTTATTATGTGAGTTAACTCATACGTATGATTTGGAAAATACAAACTCGGTTTGTATTTTTTTATTTATTTTCTTTTTAAAAATCTTCACCCAAGGACATACTTTCATTGATTTTAGAGAGAAAGGGAAAGGGAGAGGGAGAGAGAAAGAGAAACATCAATGTAAGAGTGAAACATGGATCGGTTGCCTCCCACGCGAGGCTCTCCACCTGGGGATCGAACCTGCAACCTGGGTATGTGTCCAGACTGGGAATAGAACCCTCAGTCTGTCAGTGTATGGGTCGACTCTCCAACCAACTGAGCCACACCGTATCTTTTTGTGGAGTGATTATCTTCTCTGTGATTTCGATAGGGAAGTAAATTTTAATAGTTTCTTTTAAAACTCAGTTGTCATACTAAAATAATCAGCCTTCAGGTGAAAATTTGTCTTATTTCTTCCAACTTTTACCAAATCACATTTTATCTTTTTAAAAATGTAAATGTGATAGCTATTAGTTGGATTAGTTGGATTTTTGTTTACCAGGATGGTATCATACCTTAACAGAAAGAGTAATCTAAGTGACCTTATAAAATTATTTTTATGTAGAACTTTAAATAAATTAGTGCTGTACTTTTTCCATTGTAAAAGTCATGTTCATGAGTATATAGAGAAAAAGAGAAATAAATGGAAAAACAAAACCTTTCCTCACTACTCAAGCTTTTCACTATTACTGTCTTGATACATTTTTTTCAATAGTTTTTTCTTTGAAATAGTTTTTAAAATGTAACTGTGATTATATTATGTATAAAATTTTGAGTTCTACTCTTTTAACTTATTGTTTCAATAAACATCTTCCCATGATTTTTCTTATTTTTTTGGGGGGGGTTATTCCTCACCCGAGGATATTTTTTCCATTGATTTTTAGAGAGTAGAATGGAGGAAGGGAGAAGCGGGGGAGAAAGAGAGAGAAACAAATGTCGATGTGAGCAAGACATAGGGGTTGGTTGCCTACCAAATGTGTCCTGACGGGCTTGAACCTGCAACCCAGGTATGTGGCCTTGACCGGGAATCAAACCTATGACCCCTTGGTGCCTGGGCCAGTGCTCTAACCACTGAGTCACACTGGCCAGGGCTTCCCATAATTTTATAAGCTCTTCATAAACGTTTTCAATGGCTGCATTCTTTATAATAACTTTCCTAACCATTCCTATATTTTGGGGCCATTTTAAATAATGCTGCAATGAAAAAACCAATTTATAATAGCAAAATGCACTTTTAAAAACGTTAAAAAGATAAGGGTTTTGATCTGTTTGCTTTCTTCATGAGATTTCTGGAACTTTTCTGTTTTAGCACTCTTGTCATTTGAGTAACTTGGGTAGTATTCAACACTCTTTTTAGACCTAGATGATTATAACTCTTCTGGAATAAAAAGAGTTTTAAAATGTGCTTATTATCTTTATTTTTAATATCTGTAGAATTTGGAACTCTTTTTAAATTGCTGAAATTGACTAATCCAATAATTTTTCAAATTCTAATGTTTAATTTGTATAATTAAATCAACTACAAGCCTGATAATTGAATCATATACGGATTTTAATTAGATTTCTGTTTGAAAATTCATCAGATTGATTTAAAGGGATACCTTATTTAATATTATTTAACTCTAAATCTGAATTTGCCACTATAAGTGTTTCTTCACATCCTATATAAACTTCTATAGACACTGAATAATTTATTGCATATTGTGTTTCTGTGTCTCTTAAACTAAAAACAAAACAAAACAAAAAAACCAGAAAGCAACAACATCAAAGAATTTGGTGAATTTTAATGAGTGAGAGGTAAAATTTATTCTGAGAAGACCCCCTAGTGGAAATAGTCAGTGGCATTTAAATAATTAAGTATATGATTAAATGGTTTTTTGTAGAAGGAGAGATGTTGACTAATAATCTGATATAGAATTTCAGAGTTATACTTGAGAGACTTAAAGTTTTAGCATGTTTACAGTCTTAGCAAATGACCCAAAAAAGAGAGTAAGAAGAAAGTGCAAATGCAGAAGATAAATTAATATATTAAGAATTTCTGAAAAGGAGGGACAAGTTTTTATAGTTTGTAGGAGTAGGAGAGATTGTGTGAGTAGATGATGACAAGCAAATGACAATGAAATATCATCATATATTTTCTGATTAGAATTCTGTAATTCTTTGGTAGAGAAGAGTAGTGGCCTTAAAGAGGAAGGTGAATAAGTCTACTCTAGGTTGTAATTATGTGTATTAATTTATTTAACGAAAACAAAATTTTTTGGTCTAATTAATACTATCTTTTAAAGCTATTCTAATGGAATAACTAAAACTCAGGAGAGATAAATGGATAGGGATTAGTAGGTCAGAAATAACAGGGGCCTCTGTCAGAGCTTTCAAACATTTGTTGAACCATCCTCATTTGGACTTGAGTGTCTGGAGAGCAGTACCTAAAGAAGTGAGGGATCTGCAGTTGTATAGCAGCTGTTAAATTTATACAAAACAGGCCCGGCTGGCGTGGCTCAGTGGCTGAGCATCCACCTATGATCCAGGAGACTGAGGTTTGATTCCTGGTCAGGGCACATGCCCGGGGTTGTGGGCTCGATCCCCAGTAGGGGGCATGCAGGAAGCAGCAGATAAATGACTCTCATCATTGATGTTTCTCTCTCTCTCTTCCCCTCTCCCTTCCTCTCTCTGAAATCAATAAAGACATATTAAAAAAAATTTATACAAAACAGTATGTTGGATGAGGGTTTGAGTAGGAAAAATGGGCAGATGGAGGCTATATCTATGAAATAAAGAGTACATTTTTAAAAAATTGTATTTTTTAACGTTTGTCTTAAGGATTGAAAATTTTTTTTCAATTATGTTTAATGTACAGATAGAGTTCTTTGGTTTATTTTTGATTTTTGTATTTATTGATTTTGTAGAGAGAGGAAGCTGGGAGAGAGACAGAGAGACATCAATTTGTTGTTCCTTTGTTCCACTTACTTATGCATCCATTGGTTGATTCTTGTATGTGCCCTGACCAGGGATTGAACTTGCAGCCTTGGTATATGGGGTCGATGCTCTAACCAGCTGAGTTACCTGGCCAGGGCTAGAGCTCTTTCTTTTAAAAGTCAGTTGAACATCGAAACTATTTGATGCTCTTTAGACTAAAAGATTATTCTCTAGTTTAAGAGAAAATGTTTTCTATTTACAAAACAAATTCTCAGTAAATACTCAAGGATTGGCAAACTTTTTCTATAAAGGGCCAGTGATATTTTAGGCTTTTTGGGCCACATATGGTCTCAATCTCATATTGTTCTTTGTATGTGCATTTTTTAAACAACTATTTAAAAATGTAAAAACCATTCTTAGCTTGTGGGCCATATAAAAAAGCAGGCTTGGGCCAGATTTGGCATGTAGGCTGTAGTTTTCAAGCCCTTGCCCTAAGATACTTTTTCCCCCTAAATTTTTGGTACTTAAAATTTATTATTATTATGCTTTTATTAAAAATACTTTGTTTTTAGAAGAAGCCAGAAGTTCTTAAGATATCTTCTTTTTTTTTAAATCCTCACCTGAGGATATTTTCCCCATTGGATTTTTTAGGGAGAGTGGAGGAGGTGGGGGAGAGAGAGATGTGACAGACATCTATCGGTTGCCTCCAGCACACGCCTTGACCAGTGCAGGGGATCGAGCTGGCAACTGAGGTACATTCCCTCGAATGTACCTATGCTCCAAGGGCCTATGCTCTAACCGCTGAGCCAAACCAGCCAGGGCATGTCTGGAGACCAGATCCCCTCCCCCCCCCCGTTTGGGCAAAAATACCAGGTTTGGAGAATTTGGAGAGCAGATTGAACTAAAGAAGCGAAGTGGGGGTTCAGTCAGGTCAAAAATAAAGATCACATGCTTTTTGGAATAGTAGTAGGTGGCAAGAATTGTCATAAGGGTTGTCTGGTAGAGTGGTTCAGGACTAGTCCATATATCTGAGCTATTTGATTTCTTTCCTCATCAATATCTTTTTTTTGTCTCCTGAGTAAGAACCTTACCACTTTTTAGCCTCCTAATGCTCTAGCTCTTTTCTCCATTTTAGTGGAAATAAACACTGAATAGGATTGGGAGGGAGGAAGGTAGGGGATTTAGGTTTCACCTTGGTTCTTCAGCTGTCTTGTGTGACATTTGGCTGCTTTGAACTTCACTTTTCTTATCTGTAAAATGATAGGACTGATTAGATGACTTCTGAGCTATCTTCCATCTTGAATTCTTTATTCTTCTGAGATTCCCCAAAATGATACTTGATTTGTATTTGCTTTTTTCTCTTTCTGTTCTGTTGGCTCTGCTGTTTATCTCAGTCTGTACTCCAAATCACTCCGAATTTGAATCTAAGGATGGAACTTCATTGACTCTACCGACTATGTATCAGGAAGAAATACTTAAAAAACACACCAAAAAAACAAAGTTAATAACCCATTCTCTAAATTCTAAACATTTTGAAATAGAAGATAGAATTATGAATATTTAATATCAGACACTTTTTTTTACTAAAAGGACTATATAATGTTAAGTAGTATACTAATGTATACCACACTCACCATATCCATAAGGAAGTACAGGCATACCTTGTTTTTTTGCACTTCACTTTATTGCTTTTTTTTTTTTTTTTAAAACAAATTGAAGGTTTGTGGCAACCTTGCATCAAGCAAGTCTATCAGTACCATTTTTCCAACAGGCTCAGATGATGATTAGTATTTTTTTTTTTTTTAGCAATAAAGTATTTTTAACTAAGGTATGTAATTGTTTGTAGACATAATGCAGTTTCACATTTAACAGACTGCAGAATAGTGTAAACATAACTTTTATAGGCACTGGGAAACCAGAAAATTCATGCAACTCACTTTATTGTGATGCTCACTTTTGCAGTGGTCTGGAACTGAACCTATAATATCTGAGGTATGTCTTTATTAGGATAGGTTCTTGATGTGGTTTATCCTAGGTATTTTAAGGATGATAAATTTTATAGAAATTCCATCTCTAGCTTTCTTGCTATTATATCAATTGTTTGGAAGCATATTTTTAAAAAGCTAACTGAAATTTTAATCTTCAGACTGATATTAGGAGATAAATTAACATTAAATATTTTCAAGAAAATGTAGTTATCAGAACAAACATTTAATTTTACTGACTACTTGTACAAGTACATATAACTACTTTAAAAAAATGTCTTTATTGATTTCAGAGAGAGGAAGGGGGGGGAGAGAGAGAGAGAAACATCAATGATGAGAGAGTCACTGATCAGCTGCCTCCTGCACGCCCCTGACTGGGGATCCAGCCCGCAACCCGGGCATGTGCCCTGACTGGGAATCGAACCCTGATCGCCTGGATCCTAGGTCGATGCTCAACTGCTGAGCCACGCCCGGCCGGGCAAACTAAAATTCTTTTAAGCCGTCCCATCTCTTCTCTCAACTACTGAAAACAGTCAGTACTGTCTGTATTCAGTTCATTGTGACTTAAAAGATCACAAGAGGTCAAAAGGCAATGTAAATGAAAAGGTTGTATTTCTCTAATCCAAAAGCTGACTAGAACTTATTGGGCCAGGTGTTGAAGTAGTTAGTACGTAGCAAGTAGAGGAGATAGAAAAGAGTGATTATAACATAATAGAAGAATGGAAGTAATTCTGAAGAGTTAGGTACTAAAAGTGGAAAATCTAAATCCTGAGAAACTCACCATGTAAGATAATATTTTGTCTAAAGTCTCTCTAAAGCCTTGTTTAAAAATTCCCAAATTAAGGAAATCCCACTAAAGGTTATCAGTATGCATAGAAAGTAGGACTTACACAGTTCCTAATTACAGTGGTCCTCAGTTTTCGAATGTAATCTATTATGGAAGACCATTTGAGATCTGAAACTTTCAAAAACCGAGGAATCAACAGCCAACAGCTAGGCCTCAGGATCTTGCCCTCAGCAGGAGCTGTGTGGCATGTTGGACTTCTGAGGCGTGTTTGAAAATCGAAGCATTTACTTCCAGGTTTACAGCATTCATAAACGGAAATGTTTGCCAATGGAGACTTTCGAAAACCGAGGTATCACTGTAATTGCATATGTATAGTCTGTATCATTTTATAAAAAATGAGTAACTGAAATTACCCAGTTTAGTTTGTTAGTAACTAATTTGTTTTATGAAAGGTGAATAATTTAACACATGTTTGTAATTTGAATAATTAAATGCTTAGTTGAAACATTAACTTACTAATGAAGAAATTGAGATGTATTTAATATATTTTTTTATTTATTTTTATTAATTTTCTAATTGATTTTTTTTTTTTTAAGAGAGGAAAGGAGAGGGGTTGGCAAACTTTTTCTGAAAAGGCCCAGCTAATAAATATTTTACACTTTGAAGACATACTGTTTCTGTTTGAACTATTCATCTCTGCCATTGTAGTGTCAGAATACATAAGCAAGTGGAATGGCTGGGTTCCAATAAAATTTTATTTATGGAAACTGAAATTTGAATTTCACATAATTTTCATACATCACAACATTATTTTTTCAACCATTAAAAATGTAAATACCACTCCTAGCTTTTGGGTTGTAAAAAACAGGTGGTGGGTGGTATTTGGTTTGCCAATCATGGTTTCCCAATCCTTGCTTTAGCCTAAAACTGGAGAAAGTCAATATTGGCCCAGAAAAGAGAAAATTTAACAGTTGTGATTAAGAATATGAATAATGATGTTAAATCTCTGAACATTTACATCTTAATTTTTCTGGATATTTGAACTATACATTTTTTGTTATGTTTATATTATATTTTGCAGACCGTTGATATTCATAAAGAGAAAGTTGCAAGAAGAGAAATTGGTATTTTGACTACCAATAAAAACACTTCAAGGACACATAAGATTATTGCTCCAGCCAACCTTGAACGACCAGTTCGTTATATTAGAAAACCTATTGACTATACAATTCTAGATGATATTGGACATGGAGTAAAGGTAAGTATAATTTTTGTCAAGCTTTTTAAATCAATAGCCTATGATAGAACTAACTCTTTAGAGAATTAAGCTTTTATCTTTCCTTTCCTAGAGAACTAAGTCTTAGCCCAGTTGTGGTTCTGAAGATTCCTTACTGCTATAAACTATTTTCTCTTCCTTGCTGCTTTCTTAGTGCCGTGTTCTTAAGTTTTAAGTAATTATCTTTCAATTGCATTTGCTTAATCAATTAGTGATAATACCTCATATATATGATAAATAAATGTGATGTAATCTTTCTAATCTTTTAATGATTTAATATGACTGATTAAAAATCATTCAGTATGTTATTAAGTATTTATCTTAAACATTTATCAGCAAAGTTTGGACATTAGTTTTCAGAAAGAACATAAAAATGTACTTTAATTTTCCTAAAATAATTTTAACATTTTGGGTGAGAATAGTGTAGATAAAAGTAATATGTGAATTAATATTTCCACTGCTTTTGCGTATAGCATATATAGTCATTGTGTTTTTTGGCTATCTTCTAAAATGTATTTGAGTGCCTGCAATGTACATAAAGTACCATGATCAAAACTTGAGAGGCATATGAGTTTTATTTAAATTGATGTTTGTACTTAAGAAAATATTCAGAGTTTTAGCTAAGTATTAACTTATTTAAAGCTTGCATCTCACCAGTGATTTTAAAGACAACCTATGAAATGTGACTTTGAATGAATGTGTGTGCTTATAAGTGAAACTGTATAGTTTATGCAGTTGATTTATGACTATAAGCAGATTTAAATTTAAAAAAATACCCTATGCTAGTATGGCTAGAAATCATTTAAATCTAAATTTAATTTAGATTTAGGTGCATGAAAATGTCAGTGTGAATTAAAAAAAAAAATCTTTTTCTTCCTCAGAATTTTGATAATAAACACTATTATCTGGAATTTTATGTTTAATTTTATAATTGATACTTACATACATTTAGATTACTGTATTAATTAGAGCATGTAAAAATAGGATATGTAATTGGATGGATAATTAAAAACTGAAATTTATTCCAGCCTGGGAAAACCTTTTGAGATTTATTCAAGACTAGCAACTGCTAATAGAAAATATTAAGATACTGCTAGAATCTAATTGACAAAAAGACACTTAGAATATAAAACTATTTGTGCTTGCCCACTTACATGATAAAAAGGTGATTCTCCACTCCAATTCTCATTTAATTCTCAAGTAAAATGTTATTGTTTTAGGACTCTGCAGTCCCTTTCATTGTTTGGACTTCACGTTTAGGGGGTCACTAATTTGAAGAAATCTTTAATAAAATTAAGTTTTTGAATAAAACAGTGTCATATGATTTCATCAAAAAATTCTTGTTCATGACACATTCTGCTTTAACCACTCTTTCTATGATCTACTGAAACATTATTTTTTAATGCTGAATGCTTAACTTGTTTTTTCTTTGTTTTTCCCTTTCTCTTTACATCCTGAAGTTCCAACTAACCTTTCAATGCTTTTTTTCCTTACCTCTTTTATTTGCTCCATTTATGCATTAAGTGGTTGCTTAGATTTAAGGTAAGAGATTCCAGGGCTGGATTTCCATTCTTTGTTCTTATGTAGAACATTACATATGGGGAGTGAAGAGATATTTGGCAGTTGGCCTTTTAAAACCAAATAATTCCTCTATTTATTTATTTATTTGTTTGTTTATTTTGTCCTACAACTTTGTGGTGTCTTCATGTTCCATGAGGGCAGTTATTTTTGTCTGTTCATTGCCCTTTCTTGTGTGCCTAGACCAGTGCCTTACTATTCATTAGGTGCTTAGTAAATATTTGTTTAATAAATTGTTATTTTCCAATATTAATATATTTTGTGAAACTGAAATATAAGTTATCCTATCATAAAAGGTCATTATGAAATAAAATTAGCTGGATTTTGTAAATGTAGAAATTTTGTTCTGGGCTAGAGAGCCAACTAATGTGCTTTATTTAACCCTCCCCCTGTGTAATAGCCTTTTTATTCTATAAATGGTGTGCTTTCTTATATACCATGTGGCCACTATGTCATTATCTCTTGACTCTTAAAGAAATTGAGAAACAGAAAATATTCAGTGTTACAGGGTTTTTTTTAAGTTGCAGTATCATGTATTTTGCAAAGAAAAAAATTAGTCTTTTTTCTCAAATTGCTATATAAAATGTATGTTTCAATATAAAATCACTTTAAGAGGTTTCAAGCTGAGTACTATATGCAAAACATCAAAAGTGCATGATAGTGTTTAAACAAAATGCAAGTTAAGAATTAGAGAAATATTTCTTTTTGTTGTTTGTTTCAGTAACACGTATTTTGGAGAATTAATGGTAAAATACATTCTAGTATATTCAAGAAGCCTGTCAAATAGTGTGTTACTAAAATTATTTCACCAAATTCAGCTTGCATTTTCTTTTTGTTCTTTTTTTCCTTAGGTGAATTTTATAATTTCTTTTCAAATACATATTCTTTCTAATACCCAGTTGTTTGCCATGTCTTCAGTGTAGGAAGTGATAACAAGAAGACAAGATAACTGATACCTGAATTATTAACTAGCTACTAACCATGTGGCCACAGAAATTTCACTAGATTGTGGTAGGGAGGTGTGACTAGAGGAACCCAGGCAAATGGACTTCTTGTGTTAATGGTCAGAGTGTTGGCTCCGTGCTTAGTCTTGGTGAATGAGGCATGTGGAATTGTGAGATTTCTTTTTCATAAAATAGGTAGAACCAACTCAGAACTGTGTGTGGCTACCATGGCACTTTCCCTCTAAAGTCTGTATTCAAATTTTGGCTATTGATGTGTAACCTCCAAAGTGAGTGAAGTACACAGAGATTAACTGAAGGAAAACACAGAAATGGACCAATTCTTTACCCTTAAAGTTTAGACCAGCTTGCCTTAAGCTACTATCCCACGCTCATTTCCTCCAAACCTTACCATGATTCCTTCTTGATCTTCGTGGGGGGGGGGTAGATAGGCCAAAATGAGTGGGAAATGAGGGGTTCCTTGAAAGATCCAACATGGAAAATCACACTTGGATAAGATCCTTAACATCTTTGCACCAAATAGCTCCACTCCTCAGTTCAGTGGCTCTGTACAGTGTAGGTGTTTCTACTATACCTGAGTGGAGTTGACAAAGTGAGAAGAGTACCCTGAGTTTATCCTAGAAGCTAGAGTACACCAATGCTCTGTCTTGCCTTTCTTCCTGTTCCTCTTTGTGAATATGTCTGTCTTCTGTATAAACGTGGCACATTAGTAATTTTGGGTGAACCAAGACAAAGAGTGAAAAAATATTCACCATATAGCAAATCATTTCTCCTTTTATGGTGGAAAAAAAGATTAGTGGTTTTGGAAGAGTGATTAATGCAATAATTGAATATATTAAGGTAGAAAATAGAATTAAAGAAAATAATGTTAAAGTTGTAAGGAACTGCAAATGATAAACTAGTCCCATAGTTTTCCAACTGAGCTTCTTGGTGGCCTGTGGATTTTATCATCAAGTGCCATAGAAGTCTCCTGATGTTTGATAGGGTTGTCTGCTGCTTTGATTTCCTCCTCAGCTCTTCTTGAGCTCTTTTTTTGCTTTCATTGCTGTCAGATTTGATGCCTTTCGGACAGACTCTAAACAAAGTTCGTGCTTTGGGATCAGACACATGGGAATTGACTCAGAAGAGATCTCCATGCTTAAAAATTGAATTTTTAACATTTTATACCTCATAGTCTGGTAGTGTTTTTTGTTGGTTTGTCTTTTAATTTATTTTTATTGTTGAGGGATTACAGATGTCTGGAATTTCCCCCCCTTCGGTCCAGCTCCCGCCTCAGTCCTTCACCACATTATGGTCTGTATCTGTAGGCTGTATATATATGCATGTAAGTTCCTCTGGTTAATCTCTTCCCACGCGCCACTCCCACCTTCCCTCTGAGATCTATCAGTCTGTTCCATGCTTCCATGTCTCTGGACCTATTTGTTTGTCAGTTTATTTTGTTCATTAGATTCCACATTTAAATGAGATCATGTGATATATTTGTCTCTCTCTGACTGGCTTATTTCACTTAGCTTAATACTTTCCAGGTCCATCCATACTGTCTCAAAGGGTAAGAGATCCTTCTTTTTTACAGCTCTGAAGTATTCCATTATGTAAATATACCACAGCTTTTTTTTTTTTTTTTTTTAATCCTCACCCAGGGATATTTTTTCCATTGCTTTTCAGAGAGAGTGGAAGGGAGAGAGAGAAAGAAACATTGATGTGAGAGAGACACATCAATTGTTTGCCTCCCGCACTTGCATATATATTCTTTCTGATTGGTGTTTCAGGATTCTTAGGATATAGTCCCAGAAGTGGGATTGCTGGGTCAAATGGGAGTTCTTTTATTTATTTATTTATTTATTTGTTTGTTTGTTTGTTTGTTTATATATTTTAATTTAAAATATTACAAATGTCCCTGTATCTGCCCATTTTTAATTTTTTCAGGAACCTCCATAGTGTTTTCCACAGTGGCTGTACTGGTCTGCATTCCCACCAGCAGTGTACTAGGGTTCCCTTTACCTACACCCTCTCCAGCACTTGTTGTTTGTTGATTTATTGATGGTAGCCATTCTGGCAGCTATGAAATGATACCTTATTGTAGTTTTAATTTGCATCTCTTTGATAATTAGTTACATTGAGCATTTTTTCATATGTCTCTTGGCCATCTGTATGTCCTCTCTGGAGAAGTATCTATTGGGGTCATTTGCCCATTTTTTAATTGGACTGTTTGTCTTCCTCTTGTTGAGTTTACAAGTTCTTTATATATTTTAGAAATTAACTCCTTATCAGATGTATTATTGGCAGATATGTCCTCCCATACAGTGGGTTTTCTTTTCATTTTGTGGATGGTTTCTTTTGCTGTACAGAAGCTTTTTATTTTGATGTAGTCCCATTTGTTTATTTTTTTTTCTTTGTATCTTTTGCCCTAGGAGATGTATCGCTGAAAATTCTGCTACATGA